TTTTTTTACTACTTCGTTTGGGACACTTTGTAGCACTGATCTTCTTCTCACCTCAGATCACACTGAGGAGAGAAGCAGAAGCAGCACCGACAGCCAATGATTTGAATCATTGGTTGTTACTATGTTTACTGATCGCAGTGACTGCTGCTCACCGCGATCATGGGAGCCAAACTGAAGACTGCCCGAGAAGCCAGGCAAGTGCCCGCATCGGATCCAGGCGGGTAGGTGGAACGGGTAGGGAACAGAAGGGCTTAGAAATTAGGACGTGCCATGCCGTCCTAACGTCTTTAAAGCCCATGCTTTCCATGGAACGCATCAACGTCGGGAAGAGGTTAAAGTCAAAAGGATTTTAGCTATTTCAAATGCTGATGAAATCACTTGCAATGGATGCTTCTCTTTGATGTTTAAAGCTTTAGTTTCCTGCTGGTCCCCTGAGCACTGGTCCTGATATCCTGTTTTGCAGCGACTCCTTTCTCAGTGTTATACAGTCACCATTGTGTGTGCTAGTAAGCTTTGTAGAAAATAGTAAGTCCCTCTGCACTCCTCGCAGCGCTCCTGGCCCAAGTACTTGCATCACGGATGGTACCGTGCAACAAACAGTGGAAAGCAGAATACACCAGCACTCAGTAAATATCTTTGATGTCCATTTAACCGGACCAATCGTCATGTACAAAATAGCCACGTTTTGGGACCGCACAGGATCCCTTCATGTCTCCACAAAACACAAAGGACACAGGAAATCAAGCTACTCCTCTCCTCCAAGCTAGTAGATGAACAGTTGCTGGGGACTGCTCTGTTCCTTGTAATCTTGTACTGGACAGGAAGTTCAGGGAAGCTGCGCAAATTGGAAGCAGCTGTTCAGAAACATGATGATGATTGTAATTGGGCAAAAATGGAAAGCAATGCTTTGCTGGACAATGTATATTTGTTTGATCTGGATTCATTATGGAAAAAGGTTTGAGTGTTTAATACTACTTTAAAAGGTCAAACAATTGTGAACTGGTGATCCAAATACTTCCACACAATAAACCATCTATTTTTAAGTATTGTCTTTATTGTACAAATGCCGATAGGAGAGTAACAATCTTTTCATGTCAAAGCAACTTATCTGTAAAACTTTTCACCTTACACAGGTCTTGTTTAAAAAGTGCAAGATCTGCATGGAACCATGCTCAAAAATAATCATAATGAGCTAGTGACATATCTAGCAACTTAATCTAAATCTATGTACTACATACATGAACAATTAGCATTACATCAGCACAATCCGGTAGCAAAGATGCACGTTGTCAAAACAATGATGGTTTCAGTTTTTATTTTTTACGACCTCCTCTCTCCTTCAGAGCCAAGTGGATTGTAGCTCCATTCTGCATGTTGTAGTAAGCGAGAGAGTTTGAATCTTTAATAAAGATTCCCTGCAAAAAAAAAAAAGGAAAAATGTCAAAAGCCTACTATGTACTAAAATCATAAACATCTCAATGGCCTGTACACTGCAATAGTGCCACAACCTTCATTCACTTTCAAAAGTCAACTGGACAAAGGATAAAATCTGAACCATGAATCTACATGAAGAGTAGATGGCAACCCATCTACTATATTATAAGCTAGATCTAGGCTTGAAAACAACTGCAGATCATAGAACACTATTTCTGGGTGGGTAGCATTATCATGGCATGGTGTGCCATTCCCAAAAGACCTTTGTGATACACAGCCTCACAATATGACAGGGGATACATGCACAAAAATAACAAATTCCTCTATCATTTCATCCTCTTAATATATCACATCTATAGACTTGCAAAGGCTCTTCTCTTTTTACATGTGAATCTACCAAAGTATGATAACTGCTTTTTAGGACTCCAGGGCCATTTATACATTTCAGTTGTGGGACTATAAATGCAGCAACAACTTTCTTATTACTTATGATACAGAGGTAATGCATACTTTTGGGGGAGTGGGGGGTACAAACAATGCTTTTAGGGGTTATTGTCTTAGAATCATAACATTCTCTATTTATTTTAGAAATCCTGAAGCAAGTGAATTTTAGGGGAAAAAAACAAAACAAAACAAAAAAACAAACCTTTTAGTTTAACCAGTGATCATTTATCATCTTGGACAGGCAGATCATACTTGCGATCCTCGCAACCCCTCCCCGCTGAGGGGAGGGCTTCCGATGATTCCAACGCTGAGCGGGCAGTGTGCACTTGCGCACACTGGCCCGTTCGGCATTTGTCTTCCGAGCACGCCACTAACCCGCCGAAAATCGTACGATTTTCAAGCGTGCTCGGAAGACAAAAGACGTGCGACCGTACAGTAGAAACGGTCGCACGCCTTCCATACACCTGCCGACTATCGTACGATCACCCGCTATTATCGTACGATAATCGGCAGGTGTATGGGCACCTTAAGAGTGATTTCCTCTCACTTCTTGGAGCGTGTCCAGAATAGGAAGTGAAAGTGGAGAAAAAAAAAAAAACACACCCTCTTCGCATCAGCAACTCCTGTGTGAAAAATACAATGTCGCTAAAATTATAGCAGCAGCTAGCATAAATGTATCTAGTTTTGTTCACATGTTAACGTATTAATGGTGTAACCAGTTACATCAATTGGCGCAGAAAGAGCTGCTGAGCATAGTTCTGCAACAAAAAACATGAGCTCAGCTCTCAGACTGATAGCACATCCCACCAGCTCCACCCATAAATAAGCCCATATGGAGAATGGATCTACGGAGTACAAGGTACAGTCCTTTTTTCCCCATTTAAGATGGAATACAATTTCTCAGTTTTGATACGTACATCATACTGAAGCTTCTGCTTCCCAGCCGGCATTCCAGTTGCCTCGTGAATCTTAACCTTTATTACAGAGACCTATTAAATACAAAAATGTTGAAAACATGAACTGCTTGCAGCAAATGGTCCTTGTACTCATACTATACATTAGCATTTTTCTGCATGATAGAATGTGTTTCAAATTTTGACAAAAAACTACTGTATATTACCTGATCAGGAAGTGGAAGGGTGAATGCCAGAATCTGGCCGTTCAGCTTCCATTCTGTCTTGTCCTGCATATTGGGCACTTGTACTTTAACAGTGACTGGACCCTGAGAAGAGAAAACAAGACTGTGAAATGCCTTGGAAAATATACTCTCTCGAAATCAAAGTAGTAGCTAGAGTTAGAAAACAAACCTTGTGCCTGCGCAAGAACTCTTCCTCTGGAATAAGAGAGTCCTCACTTTTCATTTTCTTGGCAGATGGTTCATCGTCCAATGGTGGTGGTGGATGAGCTGGGGGCATTGGAGCTTGTGTAGGAACAGGTGCAACAGGAGGAGCAGAGACAAATGCTGAAAAAAGGGGAGGTTTTCAATTAGGTGCTTGTTTACGTCACATGTGAAAAAGACACTGCCACTAAAACACTGTTTTATGAGAGCCGGATATCAACTGAACGCAGATGAAGATCCACAAGCGGCAAGCAACTATCTCAAGGCACCCTACACAAATGTGAAGTTACAAGTTTGGGTAGTTTCACGTAAAGCTGAACTTCAAAGTTCATGTATTTCAGCTATGTGATTCGCTATGTTTTGTACAGTTTTATAAACCAACAGATTTGTAATGGTGCCCAGAAAGTCCAGTCAGTGATCTCACTTTTTCCACTGCAGGTACAGCGCTAGGTCTTACTAACACCCCCAACTTGCTGATTGAAAACTGGAATAGCACGAAGCCGAAGAGGTTCAAAAATCAGCTTTCTCATGTCTGCAAGCTCCAGGTTAGATAATACCAATGCGGTAAAGGTGGATAAAAACATTTTATAGCGTTCATGCTAGTATAATCTGACAATATAAAACATATAGCAATATGTGAAAAAAAACTAATGCAGAGGTATTCCTACTTAAATTGAGAATGATCTACCACAACTATGTCAAGATGGAGAGTGTGCAGCCAGTTCCAAAGAAGAGGAGTGGGAGCTCCAAGGAGAGCTATATGATAACGGAAGGAAACAGTGCAAAGACCACAGTATGGACTCAGTTTGCACGGTTTCATTTTGGAATAGGGTGGAGCCTGACTGGCTCTACCCTACCTCCCCCCACTTTTCTAGGAATACACTAAGGAATTAAGTTTTTGTTTTTTTTATAGTCCCTGAAGTTCAGCCTTAAAGCGTTTACATTAGCCAGTAAAACTTTCAAATTGTGTTCTGGGATTTAGGCATGCAATTTATGCAAGTTAAATAGCACAGCTTCAACAAAATAAATACGTAATATTTGTAGAGGGAAAGAAAAGTACCTGCTGGAACAATCATGTGTGGTCCTCTCTGTGCCATCATTGAGGATGGGTTTGGTGGCATTGGTACCACATTTATCCTTGGTGCGTGCAGAATAGGAGGCATCGGAGCAGTTAAAACAGAGCCGTGAGGAAGGCGCACCACAGAGCCCATGGGAGGTCTCTGCATCACAGGTAAAGCGGACACCATAGTAGTATTAACACGCTAAACATTATCAGGTTTATGGTGGGTATCTGATGCCACAAATGGGAAAGATTTCTCAGAAGAGGTTGGAAGCAAAGGCACTTTAAAAAAGGTAAGGTCCTAACTATAAATAATTCTATTAGAGCAACTTACTTACCAGTCCAGACAGAGTGTACTGACTTTCCATTGGAATAAATGAGAGTTCGCATCAACCCCTTAATGACCAGTGACATCCATCGTACGTCACTGGCATCGGGCCTGTTTAAACAGACTCTAATTAAACTTGTAAAGCCGACTGTCAGTTTTACAGAAGAAGCAATTCTCGCGGCCTCCCCCCGGGGAAGCTTGGGAGGAGATGGGCGAACCTCTGCTCACCCATCTCCTCCTCGTACTATGGGACTGGGAGCGATGCAGATTACATCACTTCTGGTCCCATAGCTGTCAGTGCTGGGCTGCTGAAGCCCAGCAATAAATTTATTGAAGTTCGATCTGCACTTCAATAGTTTATTTCAAGTGTAAAAGGTGATTCTAGGAGTCTTTTGGACCCCCCCAGTATCACCTTAAAGAGTTCCTGTCACCACCAACATGCTATTACATGGGGGGTTTGTATACCCCCCTATGTGATAGCAATTAATGTTAAAAAAAAGTTTTAAAATTAAATAAATGGAAACGTAATGTAAATTTTTTTTTTTAAAGTTCCCCGAGCAGGTGCGTCTTTACGTAAACACGCGTCGGGTGCGCCTACGCATGAAAACAATTATCTCCTCGCACGCCAGAGTGAGAGCAACAATTCTAGGGCCAATATTTACACGCATCTCTATCCATCTCCCTGTGGGGGCTTTTAAAGCGCTGTCTGACTTTTTGGCGTACTGAATTTTGGCGCAGTTTCACAGACGCACACAATTTTTAACCTGGGCATGTTGGGTATTTACTCGTTGTAACATCATCTTTTATATTTTATTAAAAAAACAAAAAGGTATTTTATTGTGTTTTGGGGCATCCTAGTGCATTTATCATTACATTTTGGGGTTTGATATCGTGCAACATCCTAAAAGGAAAAACTGGCTATGGTTTTCAGCTTGTAAAACACCGTTATAAAAATTAACTTACAGATGGTGGTCGGGACACTGGAGTGAGCTGCTGGTGAATAGACACTGGAGGAGGTGGTCTTGGAGCAGAGTTGATGGGCGGAGCAGGGCTGGTCATGGTAGGTGCAGAGGATGGAGGAGGCGGCTGTGTGACTTCATTGGGCTTGCTAGGTCCTATCTTGTCCTTGCCATCCTCTTCAGGAACCAAACCCTTAGCCTTATGGATGGCCTCAATTTGCTCCTGTAGTGTAATATTGGCCTGTGCAGCTTGTTGGGTACGTGCCATGCTGCCAGAGTGTCCATCCCATGTAACCTGTAAACAAAACAAAAAAATTATACAAATCACCAAGAACTGACCTGCTTTAAAAGTGTAAATGCTGATGTGTTATTGTATGCTATCCTTTGCTTCATCATACATATGAACTTTGTGAATTGGCTTTATGTTTTGTCACCAGTTTGTTACATGAACCATGTTTAATACCTTCTCCTCTGGTTTCTGGATCTCTTCCTCTCCAATCTTTTTACCAATAGCGGTTTCCTCAACACCGAAAATATCGGTACGGCGTTCAGCCAACTGCTTCAAGCTGCTTTCGATATCCAAGCCTGATGAGGAAAGAGTGAACGACAAAAGGATGAAAGTACATTCAAATGATAAAACTAGACACAAGAAAGCAGCAGAAATGGACAAGTGTAAGTGAACGATTCTCTCCATCCTATTACAGATAGCTTTCTAAGAACTCCTAATAAAACCAAGAAATACATTTAAATAAAAGATTAAGCACCTCTCTCAGGCAAGAAGCTTGAAAAGGAGCTCCAGAAAATAATGCACTGTGTTTTCATAAACACATTCTGCCCTGCTCACCTGGAGCGTAAACTTCATCATCCCCTTGCTTCTCTCGAATGGAGCGATCTCTCTGTTCCAACCAGCGGGGATCCAAGAGTCCAATACGCATATGCTCCTGCATCTTGCTGGCAGGAATCTTCTCCCCAGTGATAGGAGATACAAGGTATTCATCCGACGCAGGAGCTGGTGGCTGCGGTTTAGAGGCTAAGCAGGAAGAAACACAAAGAAATTAAAGACCTGGCTCTTTAGTACAGCACAGCAACAATAAAACAATAGCTACACAAACCTTTTGGATCATAATCTTTTCGAACTATTACTTGATCTGGTGTGGGAGGTAAAGGTGGTTGCATTGGTGACTCAGGGGGAAGAGGAGCCTTCTGTGCATAATCTTCATCATCTGAACCCTGTAAAGAATACAGCACATTTAGGTAAATGTTGTATATGTGGACAAAAGAGATAT